AATTTTGCGCGGCGGAGCGGAATTTTTCTTTGTCTTGTGATTTCTCGGGTGGAACTAATTAGAAAAGACAAAGAGAAATTCCGCTCCGCGCGGAAAATTCCGCCTAGTGGTGAAACGGGGGACCGGCTAAACGGAGAGTTATGAAGTGGAGAGTTATCTCGGAGAGTTATGATTTCGGAGAGTTATGTTCGAACCACGCCCACATCACGCCCACTTTTCCCAACGACCACACCCAATTTCTTAACTCACCCGACGTTTCCTTGAACTAACATGAGAGACTATGGTTTGACGTAACTCTCTCTCATTAACATTATGAAGATGTTAGAGAGTTATCATTTTTTATAACTCTCCACGTTCATGATTGTGGCAATGAAGAGAGTTAAGTCAGTTTTTTGAAAAAAACTTCCACATATTAGTAATTTTTTATAAATTTACTTTTTTCTCAAGTGTCAGCTTTAACATTTCACGCTAAGTAGAAACTATAATAGTACTTTAGTACTTACCAAGTTCATCTATATGTAAATGTTTATATAAATATACATGCTCACTTGGATTATCTAGCAAAACCAGCATTCAGATACATATTAGATAGAACCAGAAAATCTTTCCAATGTAATGCCCTATTGGCTGATCTGGGAAAGTATTTCCAAAACCTGAATTGCTGAAAGATTCAATTTTCTTAATTTTCTTGCAACTATGCTTGCCGTATTTACTGCCAGATACACGTTAAAACATGCTTCTGGGGGTACTTTGACCCTTCTGATGCAAGGGTCTCATTGTTTTGACCGAGTCAAGTTGTACTATTTCCTGTTTGGACGCACGCTATTCACACGCTACAAACTGAAATACCAAAATATAAGATGAAAATCTGAAGAAACAAGCTTTACTAAGGTTTTCTCAAAAAACTGACTTAACTCTCTTCATTGCCATAATCGTGAGCGCAGAGAGTTATAAAAAATGATAGCTCTCTAATATCTTCATAATGTTAACGAGAGAGAGTTACGTCAAACGTAACTCTCTCATGTTTGTTCAAGGAAACGTCGGGAGAGTTAAGAAATTGGGTGTGGTCGTTGGGAAAAGTGGGCGTGGTTTGAACATAACTCTCCGAAATCACAACTCTCCGAGATAACTCTCCGGTTGGTAACTCTCCCTTTAGTCATACCCTTGTTACACGATCTTGTACTGTGGGAATGGATTCTGCTGTTATGCTGTTAGTTGTGAGATTGAAGTCGAAATCTATCAGTCCGTTAGTGCATTTGTAGATAAAGATACAACGATGTTTATATCTGCGAGATGAGAGAGTTGACCAGTGTAATGTAGCGAGAGCTTCAGTTGCCGACGAAAGAGGAGGGAGATCTAGTATTAATTTAGCTGCTTTATTTTCCAAACTTTGCAAGGAGTTCATGAGTGCTGAATTGTTTTTATCGCCCCAAATTACATCGGCATAGTCAAATAGCGGTAGTATTGTCGAAGTATAGAAAATCTGTCTTGCATCCAGCGGTAAGAAAGATTTCACACGGCGCAGCAATCCCAATCTTTGGTTGATTTTCCCCATTAATTTCTCAATATGTTCATGCCAGGTAAGGTTCTCGGTAATTGTGATGCCCAGATATTTCAACGATTGATCTTGTTTTATCGTCCGATTGCAAATAGAGATGTTGATGTTGGAGATGGATCTTAGGCGTTGTCTACCGGCGAAAATGATGAACTTTGTCTTGTTATGATTGAGTGTAAGGAGGTTGTTGTTAAGATAACCAGAAAGGGATCGTAGGTCGGAGTTGAGTTTGACTGTAGATCGGAAATACTTTCTGCAGAGTAATAAAGGAGTGTATCATCGGCATAAAGTATCGACTTGCAGTGGGTCAAGCATTCAGGTAGATCATTAATATAAATAAGGAAGAGAAGTGGTCCAAGAATACTTCCCTGAGGGACTCCGACAGTTACTGGCTTGGGTTGGGACATTGAACTGTTGATCATGGTTACTTGGGTACGGTTTGATAGATACGAGCAGAACCAGTCGAGAACAGACGAGGTAAAACCGATTGTTTTCAATTTCTCCAATAAGATGGTATGGTCTACGGTATCAAAAGCTTTCCTTAGGTCGATAGAGACGGCACCAGTGATTTTTTTGTGATCGAGATTATCCAGTATCTGCTCAGTAAAATGTGCCAGAGCAATGGTGGTTGACAGTTTGGAGCGAAAACCGAATTGTTGGGAAGCTAGTAACTTGTGTCCTTGCAGGTAATTGTAAACTTGATGATGGACGATTCGTTCTAGTAACTTACTCAAGGTTGGTAGAATGGTGATTGGTCGGTAGTTGTTGGATGAAGTTGGGTCTCCAGATTTGAAAATTGGAGTAACTCTACCTTTCTTCCAGATGTCGGGAAATGAGCCACAGCGTAAGGAGAGGTTGAAAATTTTGGTCAAATATGGTGCGATTATATAGGCGGAATTTCTAAGTAGTTTAGCACTAATTCCGTCCAGACCAGTGGCTTTGGTAGTTCTTAATTTACTCAGTTCCTGCAACACAGACACTTCATCAACTTCTTTGAAATTAAAGGAATGGGGTGATGTAGCGGTGGTCTTAGTCGGTTTGGGTTTGATTAGATCTTTAATTTTGTTCGCAAGCGTGGATCCTACAGATGAGAAATAGTCGTTCATGATTGTTGCGATGGAACGTGGGTCGTTTACCGGGACGTTTTCACTGATAATACAGGAAGGAGTGGTTTTAGTTGGATTGCGAGAAGTGACTTCATTAATTGTTTTCTAAAGTTCAGCAGGTTTATCTCTGTTGTCATTGATCAGATTTTGATAGTAGTTGGATTTACATATCTTAACTTGCTGGTTTATGAAATTCTTAAGATCGCGGTAGGTATTCCAGTGGTATTCTGAATTATACTTTTGGGCATGTTTTAAATGAAAATCGCGTTCTCGCATGAGGTTAAGAAGTTCAGGGGTCATCCATGGTGCTCTTACGATAGATTTTACTCTCTTGGTTTTCATAGGGGCGTGCTTATTGGCCGATTCACAAAATGTTTCGCAAAACTTATTGGTAATTTCATTAATATCATTTAACGAGTCAATGAAAGTCCAATCTGATTTTCCTACATCGTCTCTAAATTTGCCTTCATTGTAATGTTTGTAGCAACGATAATTAATGTCCCTATAACATCCGCCAGATTTAGGAAGTCCAGCTTTAATTGTGCAGTATATAAGGGAATGATCGCTGATTGACAAAGGAAAAACTCCGCTAGAAACAACGCGTGGATTATTGTTCACAAAAATCAAATCAATCATTGATTGCGTTTTTTCCGTAATTCTTGTTGGTGACGTAACGATTTGTTCGATCGAGTGAGCTCGCGCAAGTGTTTGCATGCGCGATCTATCCGTTGAGCGTTGTTTGAAGTCGACATTGAAATCACCCAATAAAACAATTTCTGCGTTTTCTGGAATTTTGGCAAGTTCTTTGTTTAGTTCCTCAATAAATTTACTTAGTGGAAGTTCTGGCGGTCCATAGGCCGAGCAAATAAACATTGATTTCGTACGAGGTCGTATAATTTCAATCCAACATGTTTCAATTGTTTTACTACATAAATCATCACGTGTTCGATCTTGACGAGTAATTAGATAGTTTGGTATGTTAATTTCTGCATCAGTAACTGTAGGTTTAAGCCAAGTTTCAGATAAGGTAAAAACATCAAATGGATTCTTGCTGATAAACATACGTACCAAATCAATCTTCGGAAGTAAACTTCGTACATTAAGATGACTTACTTTGAGCCCCCTTTTTAAACAACCAGGGATTTCAAACACAGGACCAGGATTACTTTCAATATCACCAGATAAACGTAGAAGAATGATAGCAATAGAAGTGTTTATAAACAATCTTGATCCAAGGAGGAAGTACATCGAGTTTCCTAACGGTTTATGTTTAACGGTTTTTCTTCGCATATTTCCATTATAGACAAGTCTTGAGCAAGCGAGTAATTCTGACACGTATAAAATTGAACTGGTACAAGATAAACATTTCTCCCTTTGCTTTTTGACAATTGAACCATTTAAAATCAAATAAATATACAAAATTATTAATAAATTGCGGGAGCACAAAAATCCCCGACTGAACGCCATGATGGCGCGCGTGCGCCACTCGATTACATTCGTAATATCATACCTGTTCTATTCGTACACATATATCTTTATTATAATTTCAAGAAAATTATCAATATTTCATGCAAAAAAAGTTATTTTGAGAAACATTGGAAATTTTAAAGTTCATATATTAAATAAAAAAGATAGATATGTCAGCAGAAGATGACATATTCCTCGCGGAAGCTTCGCCAATAGCCGACCGTAGAAAATAGCAGAAAATTATCTTATGTGTATTTTAAGAACAAAATATCGATAACTATGTGTGACGTTTCTAAGGGGGGAGGGGGGGGGGGCTCTCCAGAGAAACGAACATATGACGTTTCTCATGGACAAAATCGACATGTGAGGCTTCCCTAACTCGACATTTGGGTGACTCGACTCATGACTCGACTTGTTGGTGACTCGTTACAACACTGACCAAAAGTAAATTACACCTGATATAATTACTGGGTGGGTGGACTCATAGTTTGGAAAGAGTTCATGCAGAAACTATAGCATGCCATCATTTGGTCTGTTTTATATGACACTATCTCACTCATTTTTTATCACCCTGGGTTCCAGAGGCTTCAGAGATTTTCCTGGCTATAGGGCTTTTGTGTAGTAATTTGAAACGATCTTTCCTATTCTCCTCTGAAAAAAAAAACCTCTGAAAACCTCAGGCATCCAGGTTAATTTCCGATAGAAATATTTCCAAATTGTCTTGGAATCAGATGGGTATGTATAAAAATACAACAACAAAAAGCTATTACACTTTTATTTATAGACCTAGATAATATAACTACAGATTTTTTTACGACGAACGTTGCTGCCAAATTATATGTGTTCTGCAATGTTTTATTTTAAGTTACGTATTACTGTCATTAAAAGCCATGTTATAATAAGAGGTAACTTTTGTTGCAACTTGCAACGCAGTACATCCTTTCGGAAAGGTACTCAGCCGTGGCTATAGAGACTCGTTTTCATCATTTGAGATACTGGGTTTGGTGTCCTTTATCTTGTTACAGATGGCACATTCACGAAATCATACAGTTATATTAGATATTGTGAAATTCATAAATAATTCATGAAGGAAACACAAAAGAAATCATGACTGTGACTTAAGGAGTTTGTACACGTGATACAAAATCGTGCTGATTTACATAAACTTTAAGTTCAATTTTCTCACCAAATATCATTCATTTATTTTAAATTGTTAAAGAATACGAATGTTCTCATCAAAGCGTTTCAGAAGCCATTTGTAACGTCCGCGTTGTATTTACGATACAACACGGCAGCTCATGTTGACAATAGCACTTGTAAAATACCTTTATATGTAACAGTAACAAAATAAAGGGCACTAAAGCCGATATCGCAGTCCGGATAACGAGGCTCTGAAGCGAAGGCTAAGTACTTTTCTGCTTTCGCAAAGTCCTTTTCAAAGACTTCATTATCATCTCATCTTCACTTTCCCAAGAAAGCCAGGAGAAAATTCTGGGGCGGGCTTGTGGCAAGTCTGGTACTTTCCGGAAGGGTCTATTTCTGACATAGAGCCAAGTTATCTAAAAAGTAGTCGCAAAGAGATTTGAAGCGTGACCCACACTTTACTCGGCCAACATTTTTCGTCCAATATCTCTGGCTCTGTATCCAAAAATGGGTTGCACGTTGCACAAAAAATTGCCTCTTTAACATGCTCTTTCGTACTATATAGTCTTTCTTACGAGTACATCAGCTACGCCATGATATTTCTAGCATATATGAATAAATCTCTTTGTTATTAACTTACTACTATGATTATTATTGAATCGTAATTAATACCCCGCTAAATCGTGTCCAAACTCCCATCATGTCGACATGGAGCAACGCTTAATTCCCTATGTCATAGTCTTCCAATGTCACAATCTTCAGTTACCAGTTGTCATCATGCAGCATGAGCTCCACCTTCGAATTTACTATATGAGTAAATTCTTAAACACGTCCGAATTTATCATTATGATAAATTCGCGGCAAATTTTGAATTTATCATAATAATAAATTCGCGGCACCTACCACTAACCCCTAACCACTAATCCCTAACCCTAACTTTTAAACTTTTTAAATTTTTTTAACTTTTTTAAAAACTATTCCTCCAAGAAAACCGAAAAGTGGCATTACATTTATAACAGGAAATCTTGTGTAATGCTTGTGGTTTCATGATTAACTTTATTCGGACGTGTTTAAGAATTTACTCATATAGTAAATTCAAAGGTGGAGCTCATGTTGCATCATGAATGATCAGTTTTAAACGCAATTTTGAACGGCAAATGTATGAATTTGGGGGCTAGCTAACACTAGTTCAAACGTTGACGCAGAAACCATGCTATTACTCATATACTCTCATATACTCCACTAATTATATAATTATAATAGATCTGTATTGACATTGTCTTAGGGACTAATTATATGGAGTTTTACAATGGTTTACGGAACCGAAATTTCAGCCTGATCTAACTATCATTGACATTGACAACGTGCAATATATTATACGTTATGTCTTCATTGTCTTAGGGAGTGCCGATTACAAGGAGCAATTTCAGTCTGGAAGTGTCAGCCTATATAACATAAACTATCATTGTTCGTTTCATTCTCACTCGAAACCTTCCCATACTATTTATACTAATTATGTTGGGTACTAATCGTCTATATCCATATCTTCCAGATTATAGTTCGGGAATAACTGTTCAACATCATGATACCGTTCCTTAGATTTCATGTCTTCCCAAATTGCATTGAAATGGACGCCAAACTCCATCAAGGAACACTGTCCGCTCTCAGTGTTTAGTGTGTATCCCTGTGTATGCATAGCGACAATGTTTCCATTCAGATCAAACACAGGAGAACCACTAGCACCAGTAAACAGACTTGTTTCGTACGGCACACAATCTTTGTATTTTTCACCAGAGCGTAATAACCGATCATTGGTCATGTGTAAACTAGGATCTGGGTTATGTATGTATTTTTCTATACATTTATCATGTCGTTGTTTAAGCTTCTCACGCCACGAGTAACTGCTGACAACAACGCATGTTTCTTCCTGCATTTCATTTCCCTTCGGATGGCCAACGATTATAACCAGACCTTCTTGCAATTGACGATTTTGAACGATTGAACCAAGAGGAACACGATCTTGAATACCTTCGCATTCTTTCAATCGTAAAAATTTATAATCCAAACGAGAATCTCCCAGCTGAGGGTCCTGCTCTTCATCAACTTCAACAGTGACAACATGTTCTGTTTGTCCAGAGCGTAAGTAATCAAATGAAACTGTGATGGGCAAGTTTGGATTTTGCTGTTTCTCTCTTTCTGTGTTGATCAACATATAAACATGATAGTTAGTAATTACCAACATGCCTCCCACAAGCCAACAAGTTCCTCGAATTTCCGCACACGAAATTTGACCAATTGATTTGATGTAAGAAGCAAGAGGCTCAAACAATCTTGCGGGAATTCTGGTCGAAGCATTCTTGGATAGGTCATCTTTTACAAAGTTGAAAACTAACAGATTGTCATCTACAAATTTTCCGTCATTTCTTCCAAATTTACCTCTATTTTCCGGATTTAATAGGCTTCGGTGAGCTGACGACTTAACATTCTTCGTCATGGATTTACGAAGATTCTTAGTCAGAGGATCCTTGCTCGATGCTTGATGAGTATACACGTACAAAACAGAAAACTCTTTGATGTACTTTTCAAGACAAGCAAAGTCTTCATTTGCCAGCCTTTCTGCTCTGCTTGGGTTACACGCCTTTTCCATCACCGAGTTTGCCCATTCATCTTAATTAATAGATAAAAATAAGGACTTTCATTCAGTAATATAACTTTTGTTTTTATACAGTATACATAGTTATACTTAACATTTTTGATATTTAATTCTAAATCCTAAACGAAGCTGCGGCTTCCCCAAACACGAAGAAAACCACAAATTTAGTTGTGTTTAACATTGACGTGTAGAGGTATTCTTTAAGCCATTTCTAACGAATAAAAATGATAAATTTTCAACCCTTTGCGTTTCGGTGAATATCTTTGCACTATTCACCTCCACGTCGTCGTCGGTGGATAGTTTGGTGATTTTAATTATTGCTCGCCAATATAGCAGTTTATATAGTTAGTTTTTGTAGAGCAAAGGGGTTGATGATCACCAACAATTTACTCTTATATTCCTGAGGAAGAACGACAATATTTTGAAAATTTAGGCTCTTTGAAACTGGATTGTGTTCTGGATTGTGGTACTATGGTCTTCTAATTCCCACATATTTGCATGAAGGGTCAAATGAATATGATTTTTTATTCTACCTGTAACTAGTTTTGCTTCGTGAAATGTTTCTTGGGATGCTTTTGTTTCGCTTCCTGTACGAGAATAGTATATAAAAAAACATGAGCAATGAATAAAACTCAAATAGTAGGTTCGATTCCCACCGTGGCCGGGCGTATTTTTGTGTGAGTATACACTCAGAGTAACATCACAAACATTGTATTCCTGTCATATTAATACATGAAAACATTTATCAATTCTGATTGGCTAAAAGCAGTGCATTTTTTCAAAATACAGTGCAAAAAATGAAATACAGGGGAAAAAATACAAATTTCTTATTTTTTTATTTTTCAAAGTTCTTAATTTTCTTAAAATTAATTTAATTATTAAAAGTCTTTCTCAACAGGCCGAATTCACGTCGATCGCGAGCGATCGACGGCTCAAAATTTCATACTTTCGGTTCAGTGCATGCTATGAAGACAGAAATACCACCATTCGATTCAGAAATAAAATATCAACTAGTTCCAAACGATAGTTATAGTCATTATTAGTATTGTAACGATTTATGGGCCTTTGAAAGTCCAAACGATCATATTGTATCAAATTACGCAATTGTCTGAACAAAAATACAGATTATTATAGACTAGCCATACCTTTCGGCTTTCGCCGAAAATAACTTCGGTCCTATCGAACATATCGTCTTCGTAATAGTCTTGTTCGAATCCCCATTAAATAGTGTTTTTGGAGTGTTATTTGCAACCCTGAATCTACAAATCTGTATTTTTTATCAATATATTTCCATTTGTTGTCCGACTGTGAGCTCGAAGTGAATTAATCCCAACCCGAAATACGACTGAAAACCGTCAAAACAATGCGGCGTTTGTATCGTATGACCCTGGAATTGCTGGAAAGGCCAGAAATGGTTCGCAAGGTCAAATTGCACCTACACGCGTGAGTTTGACGTCATCCCGGCCAAAGGAGCTTCTTATTGGCCAATTATTGCGCAACGTACGCAAGTGCGAGTAAATCCCGACATCTTGAAAAATTCAAAATAAATATTTCTAGTCGGCGTATACATACGAAATTTTCTACACGAAAGCGCTTGAATACAAAGAGTATTTCACACGTATAGCCGTTCAGCAAATGACGAAAAGTTCAAGGGGTATTCAAGATCTTGTGGATATGAAATTTAGAATCTTTGACCAAGCGGTGAGTAAATATATGATTGTTTCGCTTTGTGTAATGTTTTGACGGCACTTGACCCCCCTTTCGAAAGGTTATTTTATGAGGATTTCAATGGTGGCATTTATTTAAAAGGGGGGGTAAATACTCGCCGAGATATTTATATTAGAAAAATTGAATCGAAATGTAATACGAAACAGGTTGTCGAGAAAATTAATTTCTAAATGTGACTTACGGACCTGACTGCATAATTTTTTCATGTGTATTATTAATACAGTACGGTTTCTCGTGCAATTTAAAAAAAACGTACACTCGTGAGTTTACAAAGACTTCATGTTGCACTTGTCCTTCGGACTCGTGCAATTTTGATATCTCTGAAAAACTCACTCGTTTGTTTTTCCAAATTGCACTCGAAACTGTACTATTATTTATACTAATAACTGAGATTAAGGTGGCTCAATATATTACTGTATGAATCCACACAAAATCTCTTCTACAAGAATCACGAAAGCAAAACGCTATGCTATATGAACAAACCCGCGAGATTATTTGTGTTCGCGGGAATATTAACGAAAGGACTATGTTATATGACCTGACTTGCTCACGCCATCTTGCGCCCAGGGGCGTAGCGAAGGGGGAGTCCAGGGGGGTGCTTGACCCCCTCAATGTTACGCCTGTCGGCAAAACGTGGACTTCTGTCGGCAAATTTAACGTTTGGATGCGATGTAGACAATGCTTTTTTGCAGAAATTTCAAAATGTCGGGAGAATATTTAAAGGCAAAAAATATCAATAGAATTAAAATACGGCGATAATAGTCCAGGAGGAGAAGGGGGTATCGTAACCCGAGCAGGGAATTTATGAGAATATGTGACTTTGGTAAATTTTGGGGCGCTGATTTCAAAAATCGATGTTATACGGGCCAATACTGGGGCCTTCAGCCTCGTTTTGATGCTTACAGCCTCGTTTTGGGGCATATATAGGGAAGATGTTAGTTGTCTTAGTTAGCTAGGGAACCCAGTGATTTTGGTCAATTTCGGTGCGCTGATTTCAAAAATCTACGTTACACGGGCAAATACCGAGGCCTTCAGCCTCGTTTTGGTGCATGCAGCCTCGTTTTGGTGCAAATAGAGGGAAATCATTAGTTAGCTTAGACAGGCAAAGTCGTAGGTGATCTTGGTCAATTTCGGTGCGCTGATTTCAAAAATTGAAGTTACACAGCAAAATAGCGAAGCATTCAGCTTCGTTTTGGTGCGTACAGCCTCGTTTTGATGCCTATATATGTGCCATAGATAGCCAAGGAAGTTGGTGATTTTGCTCAATTTCGGTGCGCTAATTTCAAAAATCGAAGTTATACGCAGATATATTGGGACCTCTGGCCTCCTTTTGATACACATATCCTTGATTTAGTGAAACTATTGGGACGATCCTATTTAAACAAGTAAGAAAGCTAGTGATTTCTGTTCTTTTGATAAAAAGCAATACTGTTGCCCCCATTAAATGGAGGTCATGTTATGCATGGCATTACAAGCATGTACATTCTGATCACAAACCTTGCATTTTCCATTTCAAAATTTACTCGTGCCTTCAATTTCCACATCCAAATCATCCTCGTAGTCATCATCGGAGGACGAACTGTTTTCACTCCCCGTGCTTGCGACTAGCACATCACTCTCCTCGGGATAACAAATGTCACTCCAGACAACGTTTTCATCTCCATCCATCCATGCTCGTCGGGGTTCTCAAGTTCTATTGGCAGCTGATCGGCGTGTCAATAGATGTACGCGACATAGTTCGCTCTCGTGATGTGATGATGAAGATTTGACTGGCATGGTGGCATCATACTTAGTTCGATGATCTTCTTCTCTGTTGAACTTGTTCCAAAATACTTTCTTCCTTGCCTCATTGACAGAGAGGATACTTGGATGCTCGTATATAGAACAGATAAACCATTCTAAACCCCGAACCAACTTCTCGCTTGTTGTCACGTCCGTACCCAAGGATGAAAATAGATCGATAAAGGCAATTTTCTTGGTCTCGGCTTTCCACACGGCCTGCTTTCCCTTTCAAAAAAAGCCTAGATACATAATCGTTTCCGGAAAAGGCATGCATTCCCAAAAGAGCTCTTCTGTGACCAAGGGACAATCCAGTTGACGTCACGTCGATAATTTTTCTGTTCTTCCCGCTGCCATTGTCAATCAGAATCTGCGTGTCCGAAAAATTGTGACCAATGAACAAGCTAAGGTTATTATTATTAGAATATTATTAAACCCTAACGGGTTTGTAATCCAAGTGAGAATATATACATTTTAAGACCTAACCAGATCTAAGGTTATTATGGTTATTATTATAATATATACATTTTGAGACCTAACCATCACTAAGGTTATTATGTCTATATCACCAGTTGACGACCGTTCCATTGCAGTTGAGCTAGGTGGCAATTGGCTAGCACGCACAAATGCAACGAGTTTCGTGTCCGCTTCCTCGTGGTCGCTGGCTAATTCTGATAATGTGGCTACATCACCATGATTGATCTTCTAGCACACCGACTTGTTGGAAAAGTATACAACTTTTGCTTTTTGATCCGATACAACAGTCCATCGAAGAAGACAAGGACAGCATTGGCGACAAAATTGTATACTTTTCTAACAAGTCGGTGTGTTAGAAGATCAATCATGATGATGTAGCCACATTACCAGAATTAACCAGCGACCGCAAGAAACTCGTTGCCTTTGTGCGTGCTAGCCAATTGCCACCTAGTCAACTGCAATGGTACAGTCGCCATCTGGTGATATAGACATAATAAACTTGTTCATTGGTCACGATTTTTCGGACACGCAGATTCTGATTGACAATGGCAGCGGGAAGAACAGCAAAATTATCGACGTGACGTCAACTGGATTGTCCCTTGGCCACAGAAGAGCTCTTTTAGGAATGCATGCCTTTTCCGGAAACGATTCTGTATCTAGCTTTTTTCGAAAGGGAACGCAGGCCGTGTGGAAAGCCGTGACCAAGAACACTGCCTTTATCGGGGTTTAAAATGGTTTGTCTGCTCTATATACGAGCATCCACGTATCCTCTCAGTCAATGAGGCAAGGAATAAAGTATTTTGGAACAAGTTCAACAAAGAGAAGAAGATCATCGACCTAAGTATGATGCCACCATGCCAGTCAAATCTTCATCATCACATCACGAAAGCGAACTATGTCGCGTACATCTTTTGACACGCCGATCGGCTGCCAGTAGAACTTGAGAACCCCGACGAGCATGGATGGATGGAGATGAAAACGTTGTCTGGAGTGACATTTGCTATCCCGAGGAGATTGATATGTGCTACTTGCAGGCACGGAGAGTGAGAACAGTTCGTCCTCCGATGATAACTACGAGGATGATTTGGATGTGGAAATTGAAGACACGAGTGAATTTTGAAATGGAAAATGCAAGGTTTGTGATCAGAATGTACATGCTTGTATTGCCATGCATAACATGACCTCAATTTAATGGGGGCAACAGTATTGTTTTTTATCAAAAGAACAGAAATCACTAGCTTTCTTACTTGTTCAAATAGGATCTTCCCAATAGTTTCACTAAATCAAGGATATGTGTATCAAAAGGAGGCTAGAGCTCCCAATATATCTGCGCATAACTTCAATTTTTGAAATTAGCGCACCGAAATTGAGCAAAATTACCAACTTCCTTGGCTATCTAAGGCACATATATAGGCATCAAAACGAGGCTGTACGCACCAAAACGAGGCTGTATGCCTCGGTATTATGCTGTGTAACCTCAATTTTTGAAATAAGCGCACCGAAATTGACCAAGATCACCAACGACTTTGCCTATCTAAGCTAACTAATGATTTCCCTCTATTTGCACCAAAACGAGGCTACATGCACCAAAACGAGGCTGTAGGCCTCGGTATTTTCCCGTGTAGCATCGATTTTTGAAATCAGCGCAACGAAACTGACCAAGATCACCTACGACTTTGCCTGTCTAAGCTAACTAATGATTTCCCTCTATTTACACCAAAACGAGACTGCATGCACCAAAACAAGGCTGAAGCCCTCGGTATTTGCCCGTGTAACATAGATTTTTAAAATCAGCGCACCGAAATTGACCAAAATCACTGGGTTTCTTTGCTAACTAATGCAACTAACGTCTTCCCTATATATGCCCCAAAACGAGGCTGTATGCATCAAAACGAGGCTGAAGGCCCCAGTACTGGCCTGTATAACATCGATTTTTGAAATCAACGCCCCAAAATTGACCAAAGTCACATATTCTCATAAATTCCCTGCTCGGGTTACGATACCCCCCTTCTCCTCCCGGACTATAAGAATGTTGGGAAAATAAGAAAATTCCAGCAAAATGTCAGGTTGGGAAAAATGCGCAAGATTGCTGACAAGATTATGAGAGTCACCCGTCCATACGGTAATACGATCCACTCAGCTCAAAGCCTAATCTGATTAAAAACAATGTTTCTTAAGTGATATGAAGCAGAGGATAATTAACACTTACATAATAATATCTGTGTATAAGTTAACCAAGTACTCTAGAGCCTGGAGTTTTATCATTTTACTTGTCTGTACAACTAATAAAAGCAACAATTATTACGAGTTTATAGATGTAGGTTGAACTCAACTGTCATATTTTTCAAGTAGTTAATTTTAACCTATATCTACGTCAGTTTACTGCCCGAGTCAGCTACACTGGGCTATGCATAGCCTACGTCAAATGTATCATGAATTGTGATTCAGCAAGCGTGGCGCGTTGAAAATGCTTATGCTCAAATTTCACTTTCCTCCGCAGAAGCTTGTCATACTAGTTTTGTAAATTCTCGCCCTTCTCGGGTATTTTTATCAGTCTTACTAATAAAACGTATGGGAGTAACAGGACTGTATTTCTCAACTTTCTACAGTTCAATTCAACCAAATTCAACCAGTGTACGTCATTACCACAATATATTTCAACCTATATTTGTACAGTAAAACTTGGATCAGTATACAGTAGCTCCCACTACAGACTACAGTACTTGACGTCTAAATGTCTAACCTAAACCACAAGAAAATTCTTTTTCGACAAATTTTTAAGGAGTGCCCTAAATTGCGTTCTATTTTACAAACTTGTGGTTTTCTAGAATGAGCTAATCTGATGCTATTGCGCAAAATATGCAAATTAACTATGACGCATAACCTTGTGGTTGGCGCTCCCACTAATACTTCCACCTAATAATGCTGGAATATTTGGGTATATATAGAAGTGAAAGGAGTTGTATTGAAGTTTTACATTGCACCAGTAGTCATCATAGCATTTCAGTGTCATTGCAAAACGATGGAAAAGAACCAACTGAAACGCAAGCGAACTAAACTCCGATGTCTGGTTTGCCAGCAAACGTTTGATGACGATTATCGAAAAGAACATAACAAAAAGTACCATGCAAATTTGCTAAAGGTGGGAACATCTATTGCGTACGAGACTGTTGGAGCGCCAGCGAACCCATTCGTTTGTTCACAAAAACACAAAAAGGTGAGTAATAATTACCTCTGTTTAAAAAGATATGGCAAATATTCATATATAAACGGAATGCAGTTCGCTATTCGCATCCGTCCTAGTAACATAAATCACATATTCATGGTTCATTAGGTGTCTACAGAATCTGTGGTTACTGGTGTTTTGAAAGCTGGACCTTCTCATGTAACTGAAGACAATGAAGAGTCAAGTCAGAACACCCAAGGCCCATCCCATCTTACCATCAGTGTAAACAGTGAAAATCCAGAACTTGTTTGTACGGTTCAAGAAGAAGACGTGCAGCACGAAGATGAAAATACACCACCGCATGGCAATGAAGAAGTTGAAGAACAGAGAACGGTAATTTAACATTTTTGTTGCGTGTGCTTTAATCAAAAAGGCTTCCTAAGCTATATAAAGGAATTAGATAGCAGTTAACCCATAATAGTAATTTCTTATTGTTAAACTTTGCAGATGCCCGAAAATCAGGAAATTGGAGAAAAAGAAAGTGAAGAACTTCAAAGTGATCAGGACGAATCAACAGAATCGGAAACGTGGATATCCTGTGCAGGTCACCTTCAATATCTTAAGTCGCAACTACGTGTAAGTGAAGAAATTGCCAATGAAATTGAATCCGCTGAAAATGTCAATGAAGAATATTTCTTGATCAGAATAAAAAGAATTCACGAAGCAGGTAAAAGAATCCTCAAGCCATCTCCTGAAGCTATCATCCAAGGTCCTGGAAAAACTCGAAAGTTCAAAGGATAACCTTGACGAGTCTAACGAGGACACCGCCTTGCCATTGCTTGATCCTGGAGAAAGATCGACCAACTTGACAGAAAACCAGAAGAAGTATCTTATCAGAGTTGGACCACATCAACCGATCCTGCAACAATATCCAAGTACTACCAGGGTTACAAATGAAAGTCACAAGCATTTGCACTTCAATCCAGCATGGTTTAAAGAATATCCTCACCTTGAGTACAGCCTGTCAAAGGACGCTGCTTTCTGTTTCGTTTGCTCTTTGTTTGGTAATAGTCCTGGCACGGAAAAGGCAGACAACGCATGGGTCAAAGAAGGCGTTCGATCGTGGCACAAGTTTAAAAGTTGTGGTACAAAGAAACCAGGAAAACTCGCAAAGCATTTTTCGTCCCAGGCCCACAATAGTGCACTCCTTTCCTATGCTCACTTCGCCAAAACATCCGGACACATTGATGTCCTGTTGGATAAAGCAAGGTGTTCCGCCCTCATTCAAGAAGAAAAAGATCTTCAGCAAAACAGGAGAGTAATGGAGATATTGTTGGATATAACCAAAACCCTTGGACGTCAAGGGATTGCATTCCGGGTCATGGGAGTGACGATGACGGAAACTTCAAGCAAATTGTATAACTAGTGGCAAAGTACTGCCCAGAACTTAGACACTGGTTGAACACGTCCAGGATGCGCCCATATCACGTCACGTATTTAAGTGCTCAATCGCAAAACGAATTTATTGAACTCATTGGTCACGAGGTTCAACAACGCATCATCCAAGAAATCAAGGATGCAGGTATGTACTCAGTTATGGCAGATACGACACCAGATGTATCACACAAAGATTGGCTTGCTATTGCCTGTCGTTACGTGGATATGATGGGTCAGCCCAGAGAACGTTTGGTGTTGCTGACTGAAGCCGTGGACAAGACTGGGGAAGGTGGAGCAACCGAGATTATTGGATCTTTAACTAAACAAGGGTTGAATCTGGACGAACTGTGCTTTCAAAGTTATGATTACACAGCATCAATGTCGGGTAGGTTTAACAGTGTGCAAAAAAAGCTCCAGGACAAGCTCGGAAAAGTGTTCCATACATCCCATGTTTAGCACATCGTTCGAACATGGTCATAGAACACAGTTGCAAGGCAAGCCCAATTATCACAGAACCTTTCAACGTTTTGGAAGCACTTTATGTGTCTTATACGGGTAGCACAAAACGCATGTCTTCACTAGAAGACTCGATTCAGTCCATGAAAGTAGACGATCCACTGAACCTAAGAAATCTCTCCAGAACTCGATGGACAGCTCGCGCTGAGTCCATAAAGTCTGTGTGGATCTGCTACGAAGCCATCCTAGACAGCCTTTCCAACCTGGAACAGTCGGATGATGGTACTGCTTCTGGTTTGCATTCCAAGTTGCTGCGCTTTGATTGTATTGTGTCAATTATGTTTACGAAGAACATTATGTACAAGACCAAGCGAATGACGGCGACACTTCAAAGTGAAGACCTCAACGTGATCGATGCCATAACTATCGTTCAATCGACAGTAAATAACCTACAAAACGTCAATGACAACATCGATGGAATGAATAAAGAAATTCAAGCGGCTGCATCATTTGCTGAGAAACATGGTGTAGATGTTGGTAGCGATTTTCTACGATATCACCGTCAAAGAAAACCCTCAAGGCGAATCGATGACAACCCCAATACAACTGCAAATTTAAACGTGGAATCATTCTATCGAAAAGAATTTAAAGCGGTTTTAGATACGCAGATCAACACGTTTACGGATGTCCTAGAGAACTGTGTTGCTACAATCAAACCTCTGTTCCAAGCCCTACAACCAGGTCAAGAACCATCTTCAATTCAAACCTTTGAAGCTTTGGCGAAGTTCCATCCCGACAAAGACAGACCAGATCCAGATGCTCTTATATCTGAAATAGAGACGTTTAAGTTGCACTTGAAAACGACACATGAAGATGCTAAAGATATTTCTAGCGACGCTAAAAAAGCAGAGGAAATGAAGTTTGTGTTCCCTTTGACCAACAGAGCTTTTCGTCTGGTTTTAACTGCCCCAGTGACTGTCGCCAAGGATAAACGAACTTTTAGTATAAGTTAAAAACAGTGAAAAACTTGTGCAGATCAAGAACTAGCGATGAGAGGTTAGAGAAACTTATGTTCATGGCTTGTGAAAAAGACATCACGGATGAAATACCTGTGCAGAATCTAGCCACACTGTGGGCTAGTTTGAAATCAAGGCGAATTACCATCGGTCCGGTGTAAATTGAACATATTTTAGTTACCTAATTAGCCTACTTTTATATTTTGTTTGTCTTTTAGTTGTTCAGAACAATCACAATATTGATACACCATGTAAATAAAAACAATTCTTAATATATATTAAAAATTACATTGAAATATTATTGAAGTGATTATCCTAACCACGCCCCAACCACGCCCCTACCAAGTCGCTGCCAGGCCCACTTCGTCGGAAAAGGTGAGTCGTGGACCCCCCCCCCCCCCCCC